TGATGAAATTTCACTTATCTAATTTTCTCTTTTGTTCACAATTTTGGTGTCACATCTAAGAATCTTTTGCCAAGTTCAAAGTCATGAAGATTTACCCCTATGGTTTTTTTAAAGAGTTTATAGTTTGTGATTTTATGTTTAGGTCTTTGATCCATTTGAGTTAATTTTGTGTGTTATGTGAGATAAGAGTCCAACTCCATTCTTTTGCATGTTGCTGTCCAGTTGTCCCAGCAACATTTGTTCAAAAGACTTTCCCCAGTTGAATGGTCTTGGCATAGGTCTTCTTTAATTTCTTTCAAAAATGTTCTATAACTTTCAAAGAAAAATTTTTACACTTCTTTTGCTAACTCTTTCCTGAGTATTCAAATTATTTTTATACTATTGAGAATAGAATTGTTTTCTTAATTTAATGTTCATGATTGTTTATTGTTGTATCTACAAGCACAACTGATTTTTGCGTGTTAGTTTTCTATCTTGTTATTTTGCTGAATTCATTTATTACTTCTAATAGTTTGCACGTGTGTATAATCTTTAGGATTTTCTGCATATAAGATCATATCATCTGCAAACAGACATAATTTTATTTTTTGCTTTCCAATCTGATTGCCTTTCTTTTCTTTTTCTTTTCTAATTGCTCTAACTAGAACTTCTAATACTATGTTGAATAGAAATGGAAGCATTGTCTTGCTCCTGATCATAGAGGAAAATCTTTTAATCTTTCCCCATTGAGTATTATATTAGCTGTAAGTTTTTTATATATGCCCTTATCTCTTTATTCCTTTCTGTATATCCAAGTTATTATCTGGTGTCTTATTTCCACATGAAGTATTTCCTTCAGCATTTCTTAAATGTGGACCTGTTATCAATGGATTCTCTCACTTTTTATTTATTTAAAAATGTCTTTGAACCTTTATTTTTTAATAATCATTTTAGTAGAACACAGATTTTCCTCTCAACACTGAATGTTATTCCAGTATCTTATGACCTCCATTGTGCTAATGAGAAATTAGCTATTAATCATATTTTGTTTTTCTTTATGCGATGTAGGGTTGTTTTTTGTTTGTTTGTTTGCTATTGTCATGATTTTCTTGTTACTTTTGGCGGTAGTAGCTTGATTATGATGTGCCTGTATGTAGTCTTCTTTGTTTATTCTATTTGTGGTTCATCGAGCTTCGTGTAGCTATGAATTAATGTTTTTGACCAAAGTTGAAAAATTTTTTTATTATTTCTTGAAATATTTGTCTGCCTTTCTTTTTCTCTGCTGCTTGTTCAACTCTAATTTTCCTTGTGAATTATGAAAGATATTTTTGACACATAGTGTTAAACCTTGGAAAAATGCTTAGAAATAAGAGGAAAGTATGAATGAAATGCCACAATTTTCTAAGAAGATTTAGTTCCTTAAATATGCGCACACACTACAAAACTCATTAGATTTACAGTGGAACATATTAATGTTATCTGTCCTCTTTTTCTATTTTTACAAAATCTATTCCCAGGTGCATTTCCTCCATCTGCTATTTATGCACGAAAAGACTTGCTACAACGATCTACCCATATTGCTACCAAGACTTTCCAGGCTCTTCGTATATTTGTGAACAATGAGCTCAATGAACTCTACACAGGACTGAAGACAGCTCAGAAGTTTCTGAGACCTGGTGGTCGCCTTGTTGCCCTCTCCTTTCATTCACTAGAGGATCGCATCGTCAAACGATTCTTGCTTGGAATAAGCATGACAGAAAAGTTTAACCTAAGTGTTAGACAGAAGGTGATAAAAACATCACAATTGGATTCAGGTCATGAAAACCAGGAAGGAGTCTCTATTAAAAAAGCTCCTTTAATGTGGGAATTGATACACAAAAAGGTACTTACCCCAGAAGATCAGGATGTACAAGATAACCCCAGAGGGCGCTCAGCCAAGCTTAGAGCAGCTATCAAATTATGAGAAAGTTACCATCATCTTATTCTTCAAATTGTTCCTCACAGTTTCTCTAATTTTTTTTCCATGTGATGTTCCTGAACAGCTTAATACTGGTTTTAAGTGTGGGGCAGTCTGGAAATTGATGGCATTTAACATTATTTTTTTCCTTAAAAAGAAACTAGGAAATATTAGCGTGACACAGAAAGTTCAACTCAGGGAACAGCAGCATCAAGATGGGAAAAACGTGTTTATCTTTGTGTTATATTTAACTTTTGAAATGCAATCTTTTCACTGGCCAGGAAATTTAAAAAATAAAAGAATACTATGTTGTGTTTATCTAAATATATAAACTCAATCTGTAAGGAGAAAGATATTATTATCATATTTGCATGCCCTAAATTCTGAATTTAGATATTCAAATTTGCAGCATACTTTCTCTGGATCAAATAATTAATGATTATCATGGAATGAATTTTAATTTCCCTGCTTGTGAATAATTAATTACTATAGCTTTCTCAAATATAGGCTTTACACAAATTTTAAAGTTTTAAATATTTGTTTTAAAATGCATTATACTGATAAATTTCATTACTGAAATTGTATTTCATTTTAAAGGGATTTTTCAGTGTGATATGAGCCATTTTTTCATGTATTGTATTATAAAGTAAAAGTGTAGAATTCTTACGGAGAATTATTTCACAAAACTTATATTTAATGTCAATTGTACCTATTTTAATAAATAACCCAGAATCCCTTTAGTAAATAAAATCTCTGAATAGAATCTTGCATTTTTTTAATTGAGCTATTCAAAAGAATTCAGCCAACCCTATTTGAAGTAGAAAACTATTTAATACAGTAAAATCAATGCTTCCTTAATGTTTTTACGTATGTATAGTCCCTATAATAAGGGTAAAAAGTTTATTCAGGAAAAACTCACTTGGTAGAGGATTCTTTAACAAATTGATGAGATTGATTCATAATTCACATGTCAACTTTTTATATGTAAATGTTACTTCTGATTTATTCAGTTGTTCAGCAAGTACTGAACTTCTCATTAGAGAAACAAAGATAAGTACAATATAGATGGCCTACAGTGCCTGTCCTATGTAGTTTATAGTCTAGTGGAGGAGAATGATGTTAGTTAAATAATCACAGAAATCAATACAAAATGGACATAGTGGTAAATGCTGCAAAGAAATGGTACATGGTACTGTAAGAGCATCTAGTAGGGATTTGATTTGTGGAAGGAAATCAGATCTGAGAATATGATGCTTGAATTGTAACCTGAAGGAAGAGTATGAGATAAATTAGTTACAGGGCACATGGAGTGTTTAGGGGGCATGTTGATTGAAGGTGGATGTAAATGAATATTCTCTTAAGTAATTAGCCTTGAAATCATATTTATACTATTAATTTGCTCAGTAAACTGTTTATTCAAATACAGGAAAAATTCATCTTCTCCATTATGGTTACAAACTACAAATTGGTGAATCCAAGTGAAGGAAATAGCAACATAACTATTTAATATTTAATATATGTGCAAAAATAGATAAGAATTAAATACATGAATTTACCACAGACTCATTTTATCTATCTGTGTAATATTTAATTTTAGTTCCCAAGCTTTGTTAACCACTTTTACTTTACAGGATTTATTTAAATTTGCACAATCCTATAGTGAAATCAGACTTAGAAAAGATTTTGGGGAACAATGTGCTCAAAATAGAAACAAAAGAATACACCTAGGTTGATCTCCTGAATCCTACCTGAAGAATTTTGTAAGTTTCTCTTCGCATGTAACACATATTTGGAAGTGAGAAAGATTCCCAAAGGTAAGTCCCCATCCATGTATGTGATTAGAAAATAAAAGACCATACTCTTATATTCAATAATTATTCACAATTATTCACCTATTTCATCAATCTTTTTTTAAAATAGGTTTAGGGGATAAAAATAATTTTTTGTTACATGAAGAATTGCATACTGGAGAAATCTAGGCTTTTAGTTTACTCATCACCTGAGTAGTGTACGTTGTACCCAATAGGTAATTTTTCATCATGTACTCCCTTCTCAACCTCCCCCTTCTGAATCTCCAATGTCCATTATGTCACTTTGTATTACCATGCGTACCCTTTGCTTAGCTCCCACTTATAAGTGAGAACAGACAGTATTTGGTTTTTTGTTCATGGGTACTTCACTTAGGATAATGGCCTCCAGTTCCGTCCAAGTTGCTGCAAAAGACATTTCATTCTCTTTCATGGCTGAGTAGTCCATGGTATTAATATATCACATTTTCTTTATTCAGTCCTCATTTAATAGGCACTGAGGTTGATTCCATATCTTTGCAGTTGCGAATTGTGCTGCAATAAACATACAGGTGAAGGTGTCTTTTTTATAAAATCACTTATTTTCTTTTGGGTAGATCAGTAGTGGGATTGCTGGATCAAATGGGAGATCTACTTTAATTCTTTGAAAACTCCATGCTATTTTCCATAGAGGTTGTATTAATTTACATTCCCACCAACAGTTTATAAGCATTCCTTTTTCACTGCATCTGTGCCAGCATCTGTTTTTGACTTCTTAATAATGGCCATTCTGGTAGGGGTAAGACGGTATCTCATTGTGGTTTGAATTTCATTTCCCTGACGATTAGTGATGTTGAGAATTTTATAATATGTTTGTTGGCCATTTGTTTCTCTTTTTTTGAAAAATGTCTGTTCATGTCTTTTGCCCACTTTTTAATGGGGTTATTTGGGGGTTTTTGCTGATTTGTTTGACTTCCTTATGGATTTTGGATATTAGTACTTTGTCAGATATATGTCTTGCAAATATTTTCTTCCATTCTATAGATTGTCTATTTACTCTGTTGAGATATATATAATATTTTTTGCTGTGAAGAAGCTTGTTAGTTTAATTAAGTCATATTTATTCATTTTTGTTTATGTTATATTTGCTTTGGGGGTCTTAGTCATAAATACTTTACCTAGGCCAATGTCGAGGACAGTTCTTCCTAGGTTTTCTTCTAATATTTTTATAGTTTCAGGTCTTACATTTAAGTCTTTAATCCATTTTAATTTTTGTGTATGGTGAGAGAAAGGGATCCAGTTTCATTCTTCTGTATGAGGCTATCCAGTTTTCCCAGCACCATTTATTCAATAGGGTGTCCTCTCTCCATCATATGTTTTTGTTTGCTTTGTCAAAAATCACTTGGTTGCAGGTATTTGGCTTTATTCCTGTGTTCTCTATTCTGTTCCATTGATCTCTGTGTCTACTTTTATACCAGTATCATGCTGTTTTGGTTACTATTACCTTGTAATATAATTTGAAGTCAAGTAATGTGTTGCCTCCAGATTTGTTCTTTTTGCTTAGGATTGCTTTAGCTATTCATACTCTTTTTTGGTTTCATATGAATTTTATGGTTGTTTCTTCTACTTCTATGAAAAATGACATTGGTATTTTGGTAGGAATTGCAATGATTCTATAGATTACTTTGGGCAGTATGGACATTTTAGCAATATTGATTCTTCTAACCCATGAGCATGGGATGTTTTTCCATTTGTTTGTGTCATCTATGATTTCTTCCATAAGTGTTTTGTTGTTCTGCTTGTGGAGATCTTTCATTTCCTTGATTAGGTATATTTCAAAGTATTTTCTTTTTGCAGCTATGTAAATGGGATTGAGTCCTTGATTTGACACTCAGCTTGGTTGTTATTAGTATATAGAAATGCTAGTGATTTGCATGCATTGACTTTGTAACCTGAGACTTTACCAAATTCATTTATCAATTCTAGGAGTCTTTTGGCATGGTCTTTATGGTTTTCTAGTACAAAATTTTATCATCAACAAACAGAGATAGTTTGACTTCCTCTTTCCCAGTTTGGATGCACTTTATTTCTTTCTCTTGCCTGATTGCTATGGCTAGGACTTTCAGTACTATGTTGAAAAGAAGTCATGAAAGTGGACATCCTTGTCTTGTTCAGGTTTTAAGGGGGAATGCTTTCAACTTTCCCCATTCAGTATGATGTTTGCTTTGGATTTGTTATATATGGCTTTTATTATTTTTAGGTCCTTTCCTTCTATGCTTAGATTGTTGATGGTTTTTATCATGAAGGGATATTGGATTTTGTCAAATGCTTTTCCTACATTTATTGAGATGATCATATGGTCTTTGTTTTTAGTTCTGTTTACGTGGTGAATCACATTTACTGATTTGCATATGTTGATCCCACCTTGTATCCCTGGAATGAAACCAACTTGATCATGATGAATTATCTTTTTAATGTGCTTTTAGATTTAGTTTGCTAGTATTTTGTTAGGATGTTTTCATCTATACCCATCAAGGATATTGCTCTATAGTTTTCTTTCTGTGTTTTGTCCTTTCCTGGCTTTGGTATCAGAGTAATACTGGCTTCATAGAATGAGTTTGGGAGGATTCCCTCCTTCTCAATCATTTGGAACAGTTTCAGTAGGATTGGTACCAGTTCTTCTTTGTAAGTCTAGTAGAATTCAACTGTGAATCCATCTGGTCCTGAGCTATTTTTAGTTGGGAGGGTTTTTTTATTATTATTACTGATTCAATCTCACTACTTGTTATTGGTTTGTTCAGTATTTCTATTTCTTCCTGACTCAAACTTGGGAGATTGTGTGTTTCCAGAAATGCATCCATTTCCTCTAGATTTTCTAGTTTGTGTGAATAGAGATGTTCATAGTGGTCTCTGATGATGTCTTGTATTTCTCATTACCAGTTGTAATATACCCTTGTCCACTTCTGCTTCAGCTTATATGTATCCTCTCTCTTTTCTTCGTTAATCTAGCTAGTGGTCTATCAATTTTGTTTATCTTCTCAAAGAACCAACTTTTCATTTCATTGATCCTTTTTATTGTTTTGTTTTGTTTTTCTTTCAATGTCATCTAGTTCTCTTATCTTTGTTATTTCTTGTCTTCTGCTAGCTTTGAGTTTGATTTGTTCTTGTCTTTCTAGTTCCATGAAGTGTGATGTTAGGATGTTAATTTGTGATCTTTCTGCCCTTTTTTGTAGGCATTTGGTGCTATAAACTTCACTCTTAGCAATGTTTTTTCTGTGTCCCAGAGATTTTGGTAACTTATATCACCATTGTCCTTCAATTAAAAAAATTTGATTTCCATCTTGATTTCGTCATTGACCCAAAGATCATTCAGCAGCAGGTTGTTTAATTTCCATGTATTTGTATAGTTTGGAGTGTTCCTCTGGGAATCAATTTCTAGTTTTATTCCACCATGGTCAGAGAAGATAAATGATATAATTTCAATGTTTTGAAATTTTCTGAAGCTTGTTTTGTAGCCTCATATGGTCAATCTTGGAAAATGTCTCATATGTTGATGAGAAGAATGTATAGTCTGCAGGTCTGAATAGAATATTCTGTAAATGTCTGTTAGGCCCATTTGTTCTAGAGTCTCATTTAATTTCAGTGTTTCTTTGTTGATTTTCTGCCTCGATGATCTGTCTAGTTCTGTCAGTGGAGCATTGAAGTCCCCCACTGTAGAGGACATTTTGTCTGGGAACGGTTCCTTGTTGTTTTTCTCAAGAACATGCCTGTGGGCTTGCACACGAGCCAGGACACCCTAACCCTGCAAACAGGAGGGGCTAGAGAGTTCAGATGCAAACTTCTGCTCACTGGAGACGAAACAACAAGGAACGGGACATGTTGAGTAGGGACAGTGTGGGAACAAAGAAATTGTGGTGGGACAATTGCCAAACAGGCTGCGTTATAAATAAAGAAACTGCGGCAGAAAGGCGCTGCAGTCTTGTACCATCTTTGTGTGTGTCTGTGTCTCTTAGTCTCTGTGTTCATTCCTCGTCCCTAGAAATGGGCCACGACACCCCACTATTATTATTATGCTATTTATTTCTTTCCTTAATTCTAATAGTATTTGTTTTATGAATCTGGGAGCTCCTCTGTTAGATGCATATGTATTTGGAATTGTCATATCTTCTTGTTGACTTGACCCTTTTATCAATATATAATTACCATCTTTATTTTTTGTACTATTTTTTATTTAAAGTCTGTTTTGTCTGATATAAAAATAGCTACTCCCACTCACTTTTGGTTTCCTTTGTATGGAATATTTTTTTTCCACCACTTCACCTTGAGTCTACCAGAATTTTTGTGAGTTTTGTCGGTTTCTTGGAGACAGCAGATATTTGGACTATGTTTTTTTTATCCATTCCTCCAATCTATATCTTTTAATTGGGGCATTTATACAATTTACATTTAATGTTAATATTGATATGTGAGATAGTGTTCTAGACATCGTTGATTGTTCTTAGTTGCTTTTTAATCTCACTTGTGTTACTGTTTTATAAAAACTGTAAGTTTTTTTTTTCCTTCTTTGTGTTTTTATACTGGTAAGTGTCAGCATTTTGTTTTGATGTTTAAAACACCTTTCAGCATTTCTTAAAGGGTCAGTATGGTGGTGACAAATTCCCTCAGTGTTTGCTTTTCTGGGAAAGAATTTATTTTTCTTCATTCATGAAATTCAGTTTTTCAAGATATAAAAATTTGCCTGACAGTTATCCTGGTTAAGAAGATTAAAGATTAGGACCTGAATTCCTTCTGGCTTATAAGAATTCTGCTGAGAAGTCTATTAGTCTGATAGATCTTCCTGTGTAATTTACTTGCTGCTTTCTTCTTACAGCTTACAAAATTTTCTCCTTCATGTTGGCTTCGGCCAGTCTGATGACTATGTGCCTTGGTGATGCCATTTTGGCAAT